TTTTTTTTTTTTTTTTATCTTTTTTATTTTATTCTATCATTTTTTTTTCTTCATGGAAAATATGATCGTTCGGAAAACGCCAATGTTAGATAATGATAAGGTAATATTAGTACATAATTTATTACAGAATTCTTAACAATAAAGTATAAATCAAAAATAAAAAAATTCTTTCTCACACAATGAAATCATTAGAAAAAAGCGATTGATAACAAGAAATTTGAATTATATCAAAAAAGAAAAATATATTTTTTTACAATATAGTAATATAATCTTTATTAGTAATAATTAATTTACTTAAAAGCTTTTAAATGAAAACCAATGAATAAAAAAAAGTATGTATATTACAATTTGAGTCCAAAAAAAAAACTTGTTTAAAAAAAATATGCAATTAAAGTATCACAGAAAAACCGATGATAGTGTTAATCGAATAATCACATGACCGGCGATCATGTTACGAATGTTACGAATGTTACGAATGTTGCAAATGTTACGAATGTTTAATATGTTTAACATGTTAAACATATGCAACATATTAAATATATAACACATATTTAACATATTACATTTGTTAAATATATAGCATTTATTTAATATTCTTAACATGATTAGCATAGAATTTATTGTTATAAATACATGCGTTCTAAATCAATGTAATAATAGATAATTCTGTTATATTTTAATAAAGCATTTATTAAATATATTATCTCATTGTTTATTTTTCATAATTGTTATATTTTGTGAGTCAATATTGCGTCTGAGTGTATATGCCCGTGTGTGCAATACCGTATTCGCATTTGACTGAAAATTCATTTTATTTTATTGTGTAACCTTCGTAAATCGATCGACAGTGATACATTTACTAATAATTTCATATAGTTTATTTCACTTTGCGTTCATTAATATTATTTAATATTTATTTTATTCATAATCCTTCTGCTTACCATACACCCATACGCTTATTTTTATAAGCATACAAGAACTGGCTTAACAATAGTATATATCCGGAGTTTATAAGGAAGGATTATCAAAATTTTATCGACTGTTAGTCAATTAAAAAGGAAAAATTGGTACAGGATTTGATATATTCATTTCATCTGCATCATGACAATGAAAACATAATCAATATAAACAAATTAGATAAAGTATCAAGCAAAAAAGAAAAAAAGAAAAAAAGAGTCCAATTCTTTTTTGTCAGTAGTTTGTTATATTTTTTTTTAGCGTGAATACTGAAATACTGTATTAAAGAAAAAAATAAAAATAAAAATTTTTTTTAAAAAAATAATTTTTTTTCTCAAACATAAAATAAATATATTAAATAAATTATGTAAATAATTTTTAAGAATGCTTTTTTGATTTCTTTTTTTTTTCTCTTATTCAAAAATTTATCCGGAAAAATATGATTGTAAATTGTCACACAAATTTGCATTGTCTGATAGACCGAAATTCTATACTATTTTCTTTTTGCTGTTCTGTTCTGTGAAGTATCATGAAGTACAAACACACAACCTTCCAATAAAATTATCAAAGATTTTGATTATGTAAAAATTTCGTAATCAGCTAAATCACGTGCTCGTATTACATCCTTTTGATCTCTTTGTTCGAAAATCCAAATCACTATCAATTATTGAAATCCATACTAAGCTAATGACAAAACTGATTTAAACCATATTTATTTTTATATATAAAATAATGCATATTTGTATATTGATAAACTAAACTAATTATATACCATATATAACTCTTAATGGCGGAATTACAATACAAATAATCACAAATCTGGAAGAATAAAATCTAATCAAACAAAATATATTAACGAATAGAAATTTTATTTTCCATAAAAATCGTTATTATAAATATTGCAAGTCTTGTGCAGCTGCTGGCTAAAAGTTCTATTTCATTCGGACATTGAAAATTAACCCGATTAAAATAAATTCATGATCAAGTGATTATATCAGATACGAAAGATGCAGTTTAAATCGAAAAATATACATATACATATACATATACATATATATATTAAACATGTAAAGAAAATTTCCCTAAACTAATATCCTGTATATAGTCATTGAATATATTTAATGAGAATTTTATATGGTTGATTTTAATTATTTTAATCTCAACTATTTCAACTGAAATTATTAAAATTATTACTTCTTTGTATCACGATTAACCTGTCCAGAAATGTGGACAAAACCATGATCATCACCAATCAAATCCTTGAAACTTCCGGATACCAAACTCCCAAATAAAACTATTTTTGTAAGTTCCACAAATCTTTTATATCATTTTATTCGCATATTAATTCTTGTTTGAACCAAACAAATAACGAATATAGTTTTCTTAAAAATTCTTATTCCAAAAAATTTATTACCTCACCTTGTGCATTACTTAATATATGACGTCACTTTGTTATAAAATTGCTCGTCAAGGTTTTTTGATTTTTTTTCTATCAAAACGAAAATTCTGAGAAACGCTTATACTTACATCATATCTGCTGATGAATGAGGTAATTGTGATAGACTATATTTTCATGGGGGTGCAGCATTTTCGAGTTTCTGATGCATGAATCATTGCATAGAGAATTTTTAAAAGTATCGGGCTCATTTTTTAATAATTTTTACGAGCGTTTACCAAATTTATTGTCATTTTCTTAGTTTAACATGTGCTTGCTGCTTGTCATTGAAATAAAGGTTGACTTTCGGGAATATCTATTTGAATATCAAATATAACTTACGGCGCTCATGAAATAATAACCTTGACAATATAAAAGAACAAGAACAACATCTTTCGACCATATTTAAATTTATATCATGGCTTCGAACATTTACAATTTAATACAGATGATTTACTGGAATATGTGGTCGTACACATTATTGTGAGTTGAGAAGAAATATATACTGTATATATGTATATTTTTTTTCTGTAGTTCTTCCGCCATCTATCGTCTCTTTTATCGTGATAGTCATAGCCCAAATTATAATTTTCATTACTTCTTAGTCATATTACCACTTAGTAACACTCAGACATCATCTACCGCTTTCACATTCTAACCAATGTTGGGATATTTTAAACCTCCAATTTTACATTAATTGGATAAAATATTAGGACCAAAAATCTCTTGCTTGGAGATTAATCAAGAACTTAGTCTCAACGAATAACAAATGTTCTAGAGAATTTCTTTTATAAAAAAATAATTACTCTAAAGATTAATGTTCGTTTCATTCTTGTTTCTACAGGTATTGATTTATTTAATACTGAAAATTTTATTTTACATGTTAATAATTGCTAATATTTTCTCCATAGTTTTTTAAGAAATGAGGAAAAATTGAGCTAAGGGTCAAATTGAAGAAAAAAGAAGAGAAATGGTTAGAGTAGGCCCTTTAAGCTTTGACCATTTGTCGTCTTCATACTTTCAATATAGTGGACGTGGGATCTTTTTGCCAAGATTAACAATGTTATTGGGTGCGCTGTAATGTAAGTAATTTTATTAATCTACAACAATTGGCTTTAAAATCAGTTTTTTTCGTCAAATATGAATATTTTTCAGTTAATTTTAATTTTCATTGTTTATAGTGAATAAAAGACAAACATTTTTACCAAATAAATCACTTCAATCAGAAACTTGTAGTTTTAATCATAATTTATAATTTTTGTCCAGATTAAAATTCTACAAAACTTTTCGTAAACTTGTTGCCAAAGTAATAAATAGTACTGTCATCAAATTAATCAAATGACTTAAAAGTAGATCAACTCTTTTTCAATGAGTTATAAAATTGTGAAACCTCACTATAAAATATGAAAGATGATATGGTTATGTGTACATAGAGAACGTCACTGTTTATATTAACGCAGCTTTTTAATGAATTGACTAAATTATAATCGAAAAATATCGAATCATATATTTAATAATTAAATTATAAAGTTATAAATTTTCAATAACAAAAATTTTATTTATGAAGTGTAAAATGGCGTAATTTCAAAATAATTGCTAAAATTTTTTATTGATATAAAATTAATTTGTATAATTGCTTATAATTTATTACATGTTATAAATAAATTATTTAAATTACAAACTAAGAAGTATGAAAGATGTCTTATTTTACTACTATAATCTTAGTGTTTAAACAATTTACTGTATAATAATGAAAACTTCAACCACAATAATATGAAAACAACCGGGGAAAATTAACCGACGGGCAGAATTACATAATTCCAAGATCATTAACGTTAATTCCTAGATATCTAAATGTTTTATTCAAAAATATAATAATTTTAATAACCTTTAAAAGTTAAATAAAATTTCAACTCTTATAGAAAAAAATCTTACCACCAGGAAGTTCCAATTCGTCTTGTTCATCTGAATGAAGGTTTGGATTGTTATGTACTTCATCTTCATCTATATTAAAATAAAATTAGAACTAAAAAAGTAGCATAAAATAAATAGTTATTATTAAATAATTATTTTATATACCATCAATATAAATATCCCTTCTTTGCCGTTGTATTATTTCTTCTCTATGATAATTGTTTTGGGCATCTAAAGAATTTAAATAACATAATTTAATATCAATAATAATAGTTAAATTATTACAATTAGTTTTATTTACCAGGTTCTGAACTTATTGGTAGTTCATTGAATACTTTGGATACGTTTTTACTACCATCTAAAGTTATTAAATAATAATTTATTATTAGTTTTGGTTATTTCTAATGAAAATAAAATGAAATTCAAAAATACCTTTATTAACCAAAATACTTTCATTCTTTTGACTACTCGATTTACCAAAGTTATCAACTAAAAGAAAAATCAGAACAATTACTTAATTAATGTATATAATTTGATATTATTCTTATAAATACTATACTTAGTTACTTACTTTTATCAGGAATATAAAAGTCATATGATTTACAATAAAATGCTATAAAGTCCACAAAAAAAATTAATTATTTATATAAAAGTACTATAATTAAATTTAAAAATAGAATTATACCTTCTAGTTCTTCTATTGATCAAATCAAAAAAAAAATAAGACAATCATTGATTATATTCAGTATATTAATAATTATTTAACAAAAACAATTCATAATCAATATAATACCTTCTGTTGCATTCCTAGGTTCAGGAAGATTATCAAATTGATAAAGTTTACTTGCAAATAAACTACTGCTGTTACTTGTATAATTTTCTGGGCATTCCCATTCTAGGTTATTATTTTCTTCTAGTTGATCATTAAATTGACTTTGATAAAATAAATTAATTTCACTCATTTTATCCCATAATGTATGAATATCAGGTCTTTTAGATGGATCAGCATCCCAGCATTGTTTCATTAAATTTTCATATTCTAAAGGAGTTCCTAGTACAATTTTTGGTCTTATACCACTAACAATATTCATTGCAAGATCATAATTATGTTCATAATTAAAAAATGGTGGTTGTCCAGATGAAATTTCCCACATAAGCATTGCAATACCATAAATATCAGATTTAAAAGTATGACCTTTTCCAATAATAACCTCAGGAGCTAAGTAAGGAAGATTTCCATATATACTTTTTAATGGTTTATCTGCAGGTCCACAAAATCCAAGGTCACTAATTTCAAAATTTTGACTTCTTTGGGCAAAAAGTACATTCCCAGAATGCAAATCTCTATGAATTGCATTTTCATCATGAATTCTATAAAGTGCAACAATCATATTAGTGATAATTTGAATTCTTTTTTTCCATAAAAGTTGTTTATGATTTTGTTGTAAATATTTTCTTAAATCCATATCCAATTTATTCATTACAAGCATATAATTTCCATCTGATGGGTCTTGTGTTAATCCAAAACAACGGACAATTTCATTCCATTTATTGCTTATCAGTAAATGTGATTTAGCCTATAAAAAAAATAAATTTAAGTTTTTTAAGTAAAAATTTTATTATTTTTTTAAAATTATTTCTAAATTTACAAACCTCTTCAATCCAACTTTGGTTAGAATTTTCAACATTTTCTAATCTTTTAAGTACTACATTATGAGTCCCATATCTTATTAATTGTTGCTCTTCAGAATCCCATTCAATAAAATTCCCATCAATCCATTTTGCTGTATAAATTTCTGAAAAACCACCTTTTGTTAGATATTCAATATTTTGTAAATTATTATATGGAATCCATTCTGTTATTCTATCCGGTATAAATGTTTTCATTTGACATTCTTGTATTAAATTATCAATATCATAATTTCCCGATGTCCAATTTGAAAATTTTGTTTTTAAATAATTTCGAACACAAAGTTCACAATATGTTGTAGCTAAACATTCTTTATTACAATTTTCACAAATTCTTTTTATTCCTGTATTAAACACAATTTTTTCGTCATCATAAGCTTTAATTAATATTTTCATTGCTTCAAATTTTTCATTTTCTGTAAGTGAATCATCTTCAAGAACTGTTTTTTTACAAAATTCATGTTGTTCATGTATATCATCATAAATATTATAATCTATTAATGAATATGCTCTAATAATTGCAGCATTAACTAATTGATTATAATCATAAGACATAATGGGTTGTATTGTAGAAAACTTCAAATTGTGTAACCCAATGATTGTTAAAAAAAAAAAAAAAGTACTGCACGAGTCATTGTAGAGGCGTAAAATTTATTATTTTAAGAAAGTTTTATTAAATTAGATAAATTATAATGAAATGGTAATTTCCGGTATAAAATAATAAAAATTTTTAATTGGTTCAAGTAATAAATTTTCATAAGGAAAATCTTACAAAATTTTATTCAAATTTGAAAAAATAATAATTTTTTTATTAAATTCTAATTTCTAAATATTTTACTTCATTCTTGGATAATTTTATTTTATATATTGTATGTACAGTAGTTTATCATAACATAAACTTTATAAATAATTCGATCAAAATTTATTTTATACAAAGTAGAAATATAAGATATTAAATTTGGTTAAAAGGCAAAACGGAAGAAGAATGTAATCCGAATGAGCTAAGTGACAAGATCAATAAGTCGACTAGCAAATCGTCACCCATCAAGTCAAACAAACAAAAGCAACAGAGGTTTAACACCGGGCGAAGGTCTAAGCGTCAGCGAGTAATGAACTCTAGGACACGTTTCTTGCTTTTTAAGTTTAATTATTTTTTTTTACGACGAATTTCTTGCATGTTAACTAGTATGTAAATAGTTTTTTATTTTCTAGAAGGTTGTTATTATGAACTGAAACGTTTGAGAAAGAGATTCTTAATTAAGGTCATTATTAATAAATTGATCGTGTATACGACTGTTTAAGTAAATATTGTAGTAATATGTCAATAAATAAACCCAAACTTTTATGTATTGTACAAACATTTTTATCATTCGTTTTATTTATAAATTTTTACCAGAGTACAATATTATGTGCGGTTTAGTCATGTGCAAAAATTTCATAAATTTTTTTTTTTGTGCCATGCATAAGTTTGAAGAAAATCCAAAGGACGATTAAAAGACATCAAATAAGCAACATTTTGCATTGTACGGAATTCTTTTGATATACATATAAAGTTAATAGTAAATAACTGTATTACAGAATCAGATCTAAAAGGGATAAATAACATGTTGTGTAATGTTGTGTAATGATCCATGCTTGCTTTAGCCCATCATTTAATGATTTTTTTTTTATGTCGATCTTGTCATCATTAATTACCCGACTGTAAAACGTAAAACCTGTAAAACCTGTAAAACCTGTAAAATCAAAACCAAAAAATACAATGGAAAAAAAAACGGAAGGGGACTTTTAAAAATAAAAAAAAAAAA